AATGCTGTGCAGCCATCACCATTGTCTAGGTCAGTGGTTCTCAACCTTCTGGCCCTTTAAATACAGTTCCTCATGTTGTGACCCAACCATAAAATTTGTTTCTACTTTATAACTGTAATGTTGCTACTGTTGTGAATCGTAATGTAAATATCTGATATGCAGGATGGTCTTAGGTGACCCCTGTGAAAGGGTCGTTCGACCGCCAAAGGGGTCGCGACCCACAGGTTGAGAACCACTGCTTTAAAGGAATGCTTTGGGAGCAGAAATGGTCGAGTCATTTGTCCTGGGCCCAGGAAATACCCCCCGCGGGAACCCTGTGGAAGCTGGAGCTCCGCCCCGCTTTGTACAGGGGCGTCATCCACAGACCCACTGGCTCCCTGGAGGGCCGAATCCAGCGGGCCTGCTAAGCCCGGCCCCTCTCTTGGCAGGAGGCGCATGAAGCGGGTCTGGGACCGCGCTGTGGAGTTCCTGGCCTCCAACGAATCCCGGATCCAGACGGAGTCCCACCGCGTGGCTGGAGAGGACATGCTGGTGTGGAGATGGACTAAGCCCTCTTTCTTCTCCGACTCAGAGCGATAAAGCTCGCGGGGCCTGTCCCCTCAGGGGCTCGAGAGGGCCACCGACCTGCTGGTGCTGAATTCACACTTGCCTTGACTTTCACCTCCTGACTCTCATCCAAAGGTCTCTGCAAACTCCAGAGCCTCGCTGGTGGGAAAGCCGAGCTTCCCCGGAGGGTGGGGAGGGCCGGGCAGAGGCGCCGCTGTCCTCTCTGTTGGCCCATCCTCTGCCGGCAGAGAAGTGGAGAAAGGTTTATCGTTCGCGAATAGAAGAGAAGCAGCGGCTGAGACCCTGGCGAGCACATGGGGGTTGGGTGTGGACTCTGGGCAGGGGCTGGGGTGGCCGGGCCGGGAGCAGCCGTCCATGTGCCTTCAGGGGTTACCTGGGAGCTCTAGCGGCTGGGGCCTCCCCCTGAAGGGGAGGGCCTGTAGGAGAAGTCTGGCCCTGGACACTGGCCCTCGTGCCAGGTGTGAGCTGCTGCCGTGGCCTCCGGGGAGGAGCCTGGGGGAGTCACAGGGCCTGAGGGAGGAGGTGGGCTGCCACCAGCCACCATCTCCGCAGCCCACCTTCAGTGGGGCCTGTCACAGAAGACGAGGTTTTACAGGCCAGACCTGCAGCCAGGCACCGCAGCCGCCGAGGGTGCCTCGCCCTTCCAGTGTGGGAGGTCTTGTTTACAGCAACCACAGCCTCCCCACCCGGGCCTGGGGAACCGGGACCTGCAGCGCCGTGAGGCGGGGGCCACCACTGCCCGGGCTGGCCACGGGGAGCCTGCCTGCCGCCCTCAGCCCCTCCTGGCTGCCGCTCAGCAGTGGCCTGCGGGTGGGGGTCTCCAGAAACAGGCCAGAGGCACCTGATGAAGTGCAGGAGCCTCTCCAACGGAGTCTCATCCCCAGATGTTTGCATCTGCAGCAGGTGGGCAGGTGGGGAGACGCAACAGCTGCCTCCAAAAGGCATTAACCACCCCTGCTGGGCTTACTGGTATCTCGTTTCTTAATAAAGCTCCAGTCTCCCTCTTTTGAGCAGCACTCTCATTTCCTCTGACGTCTGGATGGTCGGCGGGCCCGTGGCAAAGAACCCATCTCATAATCGGGCTCCAGCCAGAATAAGACGCAACAGCATCACCATCAGGGTTGAAAGGGATAGACGCTTTATTGAGAATGATGAGCTTCTCCCCTGGGCTGGGTTCCCTTCCCCGCCTAGCAGTGGGCGAGGAACAGGTGAGCACTGGCTGCGTGCGGAGAGGCCCGTGGGCTGGGCAGGGCGCCTGGGCCTTCCTCCCTCAGGGCTCAGCCTGCAGGGCCGGGCCCTCCAGCAACGGGGACCTCGCAGAGCCTGTTCCCACATTAAACAGGCGGACTGGCCAGAAGCCTGGTAGAGCCTCTTCCCTTGGCCTTGTTTCCTGCGCCCCTCAAGGCCCTGGTGCTCAGACCCTGGGGGACAGGCAAGAGCAGTGTGAGGCTGGCGAGGCTCCGGCAGCTAGAGGTGCCCCAGAGGAGGCAAGTGTCCCCTGAGGGCGCAGGAGGTCATGCTGGGGGCAGAGGTGTCCTGGAGGAGAGCACCTGCAGGGCGCCCACCACAGGACAGAGGTCTACGGAGTGGGCTCGGGGCCTAGCGCCCTCCACCAGCACCACCCAGCCCTGCGGCACAGCCGGTGCGGGTGAAGCTGCAGGCGTGGGGGTTGGCACCGAGATGCGAGATGGGAGAAGGCAGCCTGGGCTGTCCCGCCTGTGGGTGGTGGCTGGTGCCTGAGCATCGCCCTCTGTCCTCCCATCCGCTGGAAACGGTGGGTAAATTGATGAAGGACCCAGAAGAAAACGAGCCCATCTTCCCCTTTCTGTTTTGCAATGAAAGACTTTCCCTCCGCTGTGTTTCTGTCTTAAGCTGGGGAGGGAGCTAACGCAGACCTTAGCTCCCTTTCTGTGAAGCCGGAGAGCAGGAGCGATCAAAACACCAAATAACAAGAGGCCCCGCCAGCCGCTGTTCCTTTATAGTCCGGAGCTGGGCCCACAGGCCCCAGGGCATCCTCAGACGCCCAGACCCGGCTCTGCAGATCCCGGCTCTGCACCTTCGGGGCCCTGGAGGTGCTGGGACCACCCCGGGCAGGTCCTAGGGTGTCTTTGGGTGGGAGCCCTTGTTGAGGGGCTTCGGTTTCTCCACCCAATACCTTCCCAGCGCTCACGGGGCCACAGACCCGTCTCCTCAGTGACAAGCAGCCCCGTGGCCTGGTGGGCCCCGATGAAGAAGGGGGTGCTGGCAAGGGAGGTGTCTACCCAGGAGCTCCAGCCGCCTTCCGGAGTCAGCTCAGGAAAAGGTAAACACGGCCATTTGTCACTGGCCGATCACAGGAACTGCAGCAGCAGCTGTTCCTTAATTAAAACACCATTGACTTTGAGCCTCAAAAAAGCCCTTTGTTGAGGCAGGTGTGTGGACTCAGATCCATTATCCTGTCGGTGCCCCAGAGGGAAGGGCAGGGAGTGGTGGTGCCCAGCCGGCCCAGCTCTTCAAAACGGCCCTCTCGGCAGCCAGGCCAGCTCTCCACCTGGCGCCAGAGAATGCTCTAGAGACAGAGGGTCTGGCGAGGGCGCCACCATCACCAGGGGACAGGCAGAGGGCTGGGTGGGGCATTGCCGCCCGGTGCTGCAGGGCCAGCGTGCGGTGGGGCACCCAGTGTCCTCGGGACCCGCTCTGCCTTTTCTGGCTGGACCTCGGGCGAATTGCTTTATCCCGACAGCAGGGAAAGTTATTAAGAAATAAATTATTAAAATTAGCCCAGAGGAGGCAAGTGTCCCCTGAGGGGCCGGAGGCACATATAGTAGGCACACGTGCTAGCATTATGGCACACACAGTAAGTTACATATAGCCCCTGAATCCTCACAGCCACCACACGTGTGGGTGTGTTGTTAATCCCTGTATAGGGGGAAACTGAGGCACAGGGAACTCAGGGTGGTGGGGAAGCCGGGGTTTGAACCCAGACAGCCCAGCTCCAGAGCCCATGTCCTCGGCCCTGCTCTCTCCCTTCCTCCAAAGAACAGAAGGGCAAGCCATGCTCAGATCTGCTGTGGCTTTGCTGGAACAGAATAAAACCACCTCGGTCCTGAGGAAGGGGCCTAGAGGCCCCTCTCGCCTGCCTCTGGTCTCCCCCCTCTGCCTAGGTCACGCCTTGCTGCCCTCACTCAGAGCCCCACACCTCTGAGCCTCTGCACTTGCTGTTCCGCCCACTCTGCCCAGCTCCCGCCTCTCCAGACCACGTGCCTGTTGGAGGTGCAGCTCCCTGACCCGCACAGCCTCCAGGCCCAGACCTCCTTTCTCTCCTAACATTCCATCTAACAAGATGTGCTACATTTTCACTTCCCTGCTTGTACTTCCCCCTGCAGGCTACCAGCCTGTTTCCTGTCTCCCTCAAGGGTCCCTGTCCCCCTGCCCCGGGCAGCGCTGGCCCCGGGGGAAACTGGCTGGACTGCCTGAGACGGTGGAGCTCGCAGGCAGAGAAGCAGAGGGAACCGGCCTTCCCAGACCAGTTGGGGGTGTCCCCACGTGGGACACTGGAGGACCTGCCAGATGCAGCATCCTGACAGCAGGCCCCTCCCCTCTGCCAGGCACAAACCAGACACGCCCAGGCCTCGTGCTGGCCGGGAAGCCCTCTGAAATGTGACTTGTCTGCAGCCCAGGTGAGGGAGAAAGGCAGGGAGATTTCACAAAAAGGATGGGGGTCTTGTCCTGCCAAACGTGGGGGGCAGGCCATGGCGGAGGCCCGTGAAGTGATCCTTTCAACCTCACACGGGTGCGGTGAGCATGGACTGGGGAGCAGTGCCGGAGCGGGAGGAGCTGCGGGCTTGGAGAAGGAAGGGCAGAGAGGCATCCCTGGGGATTACAGCCCAATTTCCACTCGGCTCCTGTTTGCTGAGGAGACAGGGGAAAGTACAGTAATTTTCTTCAATGAAAACAGGCAACAGAATTCCCTTTGCCGCGTTCCCTTTGCAATTAAGCCCTTCTCTGCAAATGAAGTGATTTGGATTTCATGGGGACTAATTTAAGCACAGTGGAAGGGCCGCTGAACTTTCTGATTGCACACGCCAGCGCGTGCAAACCCCCCACGCAGCAGAGCCAGGCTGGGAGGTGGCCCTGCGTGGGGCGGCC